CCTGGTCTCAAGTGATTCTCCTACCTTCACCTTCCAAAGTGCCCTGATAACAGATGTAAGTCACTGTGCCTGTCCACCTTTATTATTTTAAAATTTTAATATAAAATGTATTCTGGCCAGGCATGGTGGCTCACACCTGTAATCCCAGCATTTTGGGAGGCCAAGGTGGGCGGATCACTTGAGGTGAGGAGTTCAAGACCAGCCTGGCCAACATGGCGAAATCCCGTCTCTACAAAAAATATAAAAATCAACCGGGCATGGTGATGCGTGCCTGTGGTCCCAGGTACTCAGGAGGCCAAGATTAAATCTGAATGGCGGAGATTACAGTAAGCCAAGTTTGCAGCACTGTACTCCAGTCCAGGAGACAGAGTGACACTCCCATCTCAAAAAAAAAACCAAAAAGCATTTAGTGAGATACATCAAGTGCACAAGTCATATATACATCTCAATAAATTTTTACTTATATATACACCCATGTAAACAGCACCTAGATTAAGATTTAAAACGTCATCCCAGAACATTCTAAATCAGCACTTCCACCACACCTGTATAGCCCTCGTCCTGACTGCGATTGTCCATTAGCTTTCTGTAGACCTTTTTTTTTCTTTTTGAGGTTGAGCCTCACTTGCCCATGCTGAAGTACAGTGGTGTGATCTTGGCTCACTACAATCTCTGCCTCCTGGTTTCAAGCAATTTTGCTGCCTCAGCCTCCCAAGTAACTAGGATTACAGATGCCTACCACTGTGCCCGGCTAATTTTTATATTTTTAGTAGGGACAGGGTTTTGCCATGTTGGCCAGGCGGGTCTCAAACTCCTCACCTCTGAGGTGGTCTGCCTGCCTTGGCCTCCCAAAGTACTGAGATTACAAGCGTGAGCCACCATGCCCAGCCTTCTGCAGACTTTTAATTTAGGTTGTAAAGTCATCTCTTCCAGGCTTCCAGGCAATCCAAGTTGAAAATCACACACATTTTTAAATTTTGCTGCAGTTACTTGAGTGTAAACACAGTAACTTATATTTTCAGAGTTAAGCAAGTGGCTAAAGGCAGCCAGTGTGACTGCCTGGCATGGGCTCAGTGCCAGAGTAGTTACTCATTTGCCGAAGTAAAGGTCTGACTTCAGAAGCCGCTGATGGCAAAGGGCTGTGGTCTTTCTTTGAAGTTTAGCCAGTATGCAGCTATTTCTAGTTCTTCCCATTTTGTGGCAATTAATTTTACTGTAATAATGATGCTGTTAGAATTCTTTTAGAAAGGCCAGGCACGGTTGCTCGTGACTGTAATCCTAGCACTTTGGGAGGCCAAGGCAGGCAGACTGCCTGAGGTCAGGAGTTCGAGACCAATCTGGCCAACATGGTGAAATTCCAACTCTACTAAAAATACAAAAAATTAGTTGGGCGTGGTGGCAGTTGCTTGTAATCTCAGCTACTTGGGAGGCTGAGGCAGGGAGAATCGCTTGAATCTGGGAGGAAGAGGTTACGGTGAGTTGACATTACACCATTACACTCCAGCCTGGGCAACAGGGCGAGACTCCATCTCAAAAAAAAATTATTTTAGAAAGCTGACACATAAATTTCAACATTGTTTAGATTTAAGTTTTCTTTTTGTGATTGTATTTTTGTCCTGCTTTTGTCCTCGGATCTTTAAAAAATTATTTTGTTCCACTTTGAAGCAGTAGCAAGTCTGACTTTGGAGGGAAAGTGTAGCTGTATATGAGATTGAATGTATTATTCAAAAGTGCTTCCTGCTAAACTTGCATTCTGTTGCATTTACATAATTATAGCAGAGCTGACTTCAGGTTTTTATAAATGTTTATCATGTATTTGCCTTCAGCTTACATCTTTTCATTATAATGTCAGGCCATAATTTTAAACAAAAACTATTATAATTCAAATGGATAGGAGTCAAAAAACACCTACGCTTTCATTAATAACTTTATTCTTTTTTCTCTTATTATAAAAGTTCTAGGATTTTGTGGCTTTAAAAAATATTAATAAATGTTCCGTATTTTTTAGCTTTGAAAATGTAGGGTATATAAATAAGCAAAAAAGAAGTTGCCCGTAATCTCGCCAAACTATAACATTTCAACAGATATTCTACCAGTGTTTTCTTCTTTTCTCTCCCTCTAACACACATCTGAGTTTTAAAAGTAATATTTAACTCTTTTCTTCCTCTCCTCTTCCTGAAAAATCCAGTCAAAGAGCTGTTAGGTGGGGTCAAGCGTGACAGGCATCCTCTACAGAAAGACAAGCTGTGGTGGCTCAGAGCAGGCTGCCGGGCTCAGGCAGGGTGGGAAGGGGCTCCCATAGGAGGGCAGCTCAGCATGGGCTCAGGTCCTGAGCAGGGTGAGGTGGAGGGGCCAGGCAGCAGGGTGCGGGATGGAAGAAGGCAGACCTAAGTGGGATACTGGAGTCTGAGCAGGATGAAGAGACTGTCCTCATGAGGACAGGGAAAGCAGTGGTGGCAGCTCTGTCCACCAAGAGTGCCCAGAACAGCTACACCCCAGCACCAGGAGCACACCTAGCCCCCAGTTATGGAGCATTATGTTGACAAATAGCAGATGTTTCAGGAAAAACATGATTTAACTAGTAACTTTTCTATAAATTTAAGAACATATAGAAAAATAGTAATAGCAGAGAACAAATAGAGATCATTCCTTCCTAAGTGTCCCTAATAGTGAAGACAGGATTGTGGGGTCTCAGAGAGCTGTGCAGTTTATTCAGACAGCTCAGCAAGGAAAACAAGAGCTGAGGACCAGTAACCCAAGAACATTTATTTGTGTTTTACTTTTAAAAATGAATGTATTTTAAATGTATTTATTTTATATACAAAATAATTTAGTACTTCATAGAGATCACTGAAAATAATTATTTTGAACATTCTAAAACTTGGATTTATATGAATAAATTTAGACATTATATTACTGTGAAAAAAAACTAGGATTCATATGTTCAACCCTTTTTATTTTTCATAGAGACAAGGTCTCACTATGTTGCCCAGGCTGGTCTCAAAGTTCCACGCTCAAGCAGTCCTCCTACCTTGGCCTTTCAAAGTGCTGGATTACTGGCACAAGCTACCATGCCTTACCTCAGCACATTTATTGAGCACCTACTATGTGCGAAGCCCCTAGCCTTATGCTAGGCACTGAGAATGAAAATGAGAAACAAGACAGACAGTGGCTCCTGTGAAGCTGCTGTCTTCACAGTGGCTTCCTCATGTGCTTCACATAAGCTTCCTCATGAAACTTATATTCTAGTGTTAGACACACACAACCAAATGGATATATATATCATATGTATCATGTCTTGTAACCTGATGTATTGTGAGCATTTTCCTGTGACATTTAAAATGTTTCAAAGGATGCTTCTAAAGAAAGCAAGGCTATCTCAATTTAGAGTGGTACTCTATGAATAAAGTTAGTAAAACACTTTTTTTTTTTTTTTTTTTGAGACGGAGTTTCGCTCTTGTTACCCAGGCTGGAGTGCAATGGCGCAATCTCGGCTCACCGCAACCTCCGCCTCCTGGGTTCAGGCAATTCTCCTGCCTCATGGGATTACAGGCACACACCACCATGCCCAGCTAATTTTTTGTATTTTTAGTAGAGACGGGGTTTCACCATGTTGACCAGGATGGTCTCGATCTCTTGACCTCGTGATCCACCCGCCTCGGCCTCCCAAAGTACTGGGATTACAGGCTTGAGCCACCGCGCCCGGCCTAGTAAAACACTTCTTATGTTTAGGTCCTGTATCAAGTATTGAAAAACAAGATTTTAACATGTGAATCTCTTTTTGATAATGTCTTCAGAGCAAAAAGTTATTATGCTGTTTGAAATATAATTATTTCTCCAAACATTTTACATTAGTTCAAAATTATTACAAAAAATTTATTCCAAAGCCAATTTTCAGTAATTTTTGGATTATCTAGGGCCCATTTTCTCTCTCTGCCATTGCTATACATGATTACATGTTATGTCTGGTATATACAAATGGAAAATCAGATAGAACCAAGCTAAACGATCTTTTTACCTGTTCCAATCTTAGCAAAAGAAAATTTTGAGAATTTTGTTCCCAAATTTTAAAAATCTGGACTCACCTGAAAGAGTTGTTAAAACTCAGATTTATGGACCCTGTGGCCAGAGTGTCTGCTTTGCTAGGTTTGGGTTAGGGGCAGAGAATTTTCTTTTCAAATAGGTTGCCAAGTAATGCTGATTCTGCTAGTCTGGGGCCCATCATCACTGCTCTAGGGAGTATCTGGTTGAAGAGACCAGTCATGTGAACTCTTTTTTTGTTTGTTTGTTTGGAGACGGAGTTTCGCTCTTATTGCCCAGGGGGGAATGCAGTGGTGTGATCTCAGCTCACTGCAACCTCCGCTTCCTGGGTCCAAGCAATCCTCCCACCTCAGCCTCCCGAGTAGCTGGGATTACAGGCATCTGCCACCATGCCTGCTTAATTTTTCATATTTTTAGTAGATTTGGGGTTTCACCATGTTGGCCAGGCTGGCCAGGCTGGTCTCAAACTCCCAAACTCAGGTGATCCACCGGCCTCAGCCTCCCAAATGCTAGGGTTACAGGTTTGAATCACCACCCCCGGCCTCCTACGGACTTTTTACTAAAGACTTTAAGGCCCGTGAGCCAGGTGCGGTGGCACTTTGGGAGGTCAAGGCAAGGAGGAGCTCTTGAGGCCAGGAGTTTGAGATCAGCCTGAGCAACATAATGAGACCTTGACTCTACAAAAAATGTTTAAAAATTAGCCAGGTGTGGTGGCACACACCTATAATCCCAACTACTCAGGCGGCTGAGGTAGGAGGATCACTTGAGCCCAGGAGTTCAAGGCTACAGTAAGCCATGGTTGTGCCACTGCATTCTAGCCTGGGCAACAGAGTGAGACCCTATATCTTCAAAAAAAAAGGCTTTTAAGGCCTAATCTTAAATTCGAGCAACTGTAGATTGTTGTTTCTGGTAATTGGTGTCATGGACCCTGATTTCTTGGTTTTATTTTATTGATACAGGATTAATGCAGTATCGAATGGACAAGTCCGAGGTGATAGTTACAGTGAAGGTTGTCTGGGTCAAACAGGTAAATAGGTGCAAATAACGTCTCATTATATATGCTTAAATCCTTAAAATGAGAATTTCACATGGAAGTACCACTTGTCTATTTGTTTTAATATATCTGTGAGTAACAGCTTGTTTTGAATCTACTGTTTTATGTTTTGGGCTTGAAATTAGGAATTAATATATAACATTCTATTTGCTGTGCTTTATTGAGCTGTAGGCAGTGTTTTTATTAAAATGTATTTGTGCTAATTAAATAAAGAGGCCCTATCAGAATTTAAGCAGTCATGACTCCATTTATTATTTATAGCAAATCTTCATAAACATATTAATGTGATTTGAAAGCTGGTTGTTCTCTATTAACCTAATTTTAATGCAACTAAAGTGCCAGTCACAGCAAATTTGAATTTATTTTGTTGCCTGACTTCCCTGAAAGTGAAATATGGTAGCTCTGAGATTTGCACATCACCGAATGTGAATTTTTTACTGTAGATCTGTGTTATTGTTTGAAAGTCCTCTTGGAGGACTTGAAAAATGTGGGAGCATTCTCCATGTAAAAGCATATGGAGAATGAGCCTCTAAATGTGGTGAAACATAACTTTATGAGATGTTTTCTAGGAAGGTTGAGTACAGGCTTCCTCAGTGTAGGCAGCTGGGGAAAGTAAGTATATGCACTTAAACAGACTAATAAATAATAATTTTTTAAAAATCTATACAGACCATCCAAGAAGACAAAGGCCAGCATCTGCACTGATGAAAGACGTTTAACGTATCTTCTCCTGTTCTTACATTAGACTGGAATGGCAGCTGCACGTTTTTTCTGTTTGGGTTTTGTTTTCTTTTTGAAAGTTAATTGTACTGCCATATGAGGAACAATTCTGGTAAAATATTATTTCTTTCAAGGTGCTCGTATTTGGCTGTTCATTGGTTTCATGTTGGCCTTTGGATCTCTGATTGCATCTATGTGGATTCTTTTTGGAGGTTATGTTGCTAAAGGTAAGAGAAAACAACGTTACAGTTTACTTCAGTGGAATACTGGAATTTTGCATTAAAGTTGATTATTTTAGAATAAAACTTTTTTCCTGTAGATAGGCAAAGCATTTGTATCCGAGGACTCCCCTCCCCACAAAACCAAACAGTGTTCCCTCACAGTGTTTGGATTCTTTGCCTTGTATATTTTTAGTATTTCTTTCTTTAATCTTCTGCAGCCTCAGCCTCCTGGGTGCAAACCATCCTCCCAGCTCAGCTTCCCAGGTTGCTAGGGCCACAGGCACACACCATCACACCCAGCTAATTTTTTTATTTTTTGTAGAGATGTGATCTTGCTATGTTGCTAAGGCTGACCTTGAACTCCTGGCCTCAAGCCTGGCCTAACAAGTTCTGACTTTCAGAATATCTGTGCAAAGCTCTAACATCCCAGAATTGAGATTTATTCAGTTAAGCCTCCCTGATAATATGATGTCATCTCCTTTTAGACAGAAAAGTAAACTAACATTTAATATATGCCTGCCATAGAAGGCGAGTTTAAGGCAAGCTCAGGAAGAGGTGTACTGTTAGATCCCTGGCAGAAATTTTACCTTGAGGGACTTCAGAAAAATAGAAAATCCATTTAATGGTCCAGGTAAAATTGCCATGGCTGTCATAGTAAAAATACAGTATTAATGATTTACAAAAACTGGACCAGCTTACATCTCATTTAGCTCCTATTTTAACTCTTCTTTGAATAAAATACGACTTTTAGATTAAAATAATGTTTCCTAAATTTTTATTAAAATCATTTAATCTCATATACAGGAGTAATAGATATTTCTAAACATTTGTATTTTTTCTTTTATGTTTGTTTATTTTTTTGAGACAGGGTCTTGCTCTCTCACCCAGGCTGGAGTGCAGTGTCTCAGCTCACTGCAACCTCCACCTTCCAGACTCAAGCAATCCTCCCACCTCAGCCTCCTGAGTAGCTGGGACGACAGGCCCATGCCACCACACCCTGCTAATTTTTTGTATTTTTTGTAGAGATGGGGCTTTACCATGTTGCCCAGGCTGGTCTTAAACTCCCAGGCTCAAGTGATCTGCACGCTTCGGCCTCCCAAAGTGCTGGGATTACAGGCGTGAGCCACCGCGCCCGGCACATTCTTAGTTTTCTACAATGAACAAGTATTATGCAATTCCCATGATAAAAAGGGTAATTTTTTTCCTTTGTTTTTTTGAGAGAGTCTCGCTCTGTTGCCCAGGCTGCCATGTAGTGGGGTGATCACAGCTCACTGCAACCTCCACCTCCTGGATTCAAGAGATTCTCATGCCTCAGCCTCCCAAGTAGCTGGAATTACAGATGTGCGCCACCATGCCTGGCTAATTTTTGTATTTTTAGTAGAGATGGGGTTTCACCGTATTGACCAGGATGGTCTTGATCTCTTGACCTCGTGATCCACCCGCCTCGGCCTCCCAAAGTGCTGGGATTACAGGCGTGAGCCACCGCGCCTGGCCTAGTTATCATAATTTTTATTCCCCGTTTGCATTTAACATATTATAAATTACAACTATTGTAACTAACTAAATAATTTGAAAAAAATATATACATATATGGTTTTTTTTTTTTTTTTTTTTTTTTATATGGTTTTTTTTTTTTTTTTTTTTTTTTTGAGATGGAGTCTCGCTCTTGTTGCCTAGGCTGGAGTGCAGTGAAGCAATCTCAGCTCACTGCAACCTCCGCCTCCTGGGTTCAAGCAATTCTCCTGCCTCAGCCTCCTGAGTAGCTAGGATTGCAGAGCACCTGCCACCACGCTCAGCTAATTTTTGTATTTTTAGTAGAGACAGGGTTTCACCATGTTGGCCAGGCTAGTCTTGAACTCCTTACCTCAGGTGCTCCACCCGCCTCAGCCTCCCAAAGTGCTGGGATTACAGAAGTGAGCCACCGCGCCCAGCCACATATATATATTTTAAAATGTGGTTGGGTGCAGTGGCTTACACCTGTAATCCCAGCACGTTGGGAAGCTGAGGCAAGTGGATCACTTGAGACCAGGAGTTTGAGACCAGCCTGGTCAACATGGCAAAACCCCATCTCTACTAAAAATACAAAAATTAGCCAGGCATGGTGGCGCACATCTGTAATTCCAGCTACTTGGGAGGCTGAGGCATGAGAATCTCTTGAATCCAGGAGGTGGAGGTTGCAGTGAGCTGTGATCACCCCACTACATGGCAGCCTGAGCAACAGAGCGAGACTCTCTCAAAAAAACAAAGGAAAAAAATTACCCTTTTTATCATGGGAATTGCATAATACTTGTTCATTATAGAAAACTAAGAATGTGCCGGGCGCGGTGGCTCACGCCTGTAATCCCAGCACTTTGGGAGGCCGAGGCGGGTGGATCACGAGGTCGAGACCATCCTGGTCAAAATGGTGAAACCCCGTCTCTACTAAAACTACAAAAAATTAGCTGGGCATGGTGGTGCGTGCCTGTAATCCCAGCGACTCAGGAGGCTGAGGCAGGAGAATTGCCTGAACCCAGGAGGCGGAGGTTGCAGTGAGCCAAGATTGCGCCATTGCCCTCCAGCCTGGGCAACAAAAGCAAAACTCCGACTCAAAAAAAAAAGAAAACTAAGAATGTAAAAGAACTCAAAAGAAGAAAATTAAATTACTGACAATTATTTCCCAGGTACAACTATTAATACAGAGCTCCCCCTGCTTTTTTTTTCCCCCGAGACAGTCTCACTCTGTGGCCAGGCACCAGGCTGGAGTGCAGTGGCGCGATCTCGGCTCACCGAGTCTTGCCTCCTGGGTTCAAGCAATTCTCCTGCCTCAGCCTCCCAAGTAGCTAGGACTACAGGCACGCGCCACCATGCCCAGCTAATTTTTTTATTTTAGTAGAAACGGGGTTTCACCATGTTGGCCAGGATGGTCTCGATCTCCTGACCTCATGATCAACCCACCTCGGCCTCCCAAAGTGCTGGGATTACAGGCGTGAGCCACTGCACCTGGCCCCCAGAGCCCCTTTTTATAGGAATGTCTTCATCTCATAGTTTTAGGTTATTTTCTTGAAGGCATCTGGAGCAAGGTTATGCTTTGAGAATTATTAGCAGCAGATCTGTAATTTTATAAAGTTGACTTTATAACATTTTTATGAGCCATTCTGGTGGTAATGGCTATTTAATGTGGAATACTGGTGAAGACTAACTATGCAAACCATCTGTTAATGTTAATCAGATTAACTACAGCCATTCTGAAATGAGAAAATTTTGATAATCCACCTATTTATCTTGTGTCTGTCAATTAATGAGCAATCATTGACAATTCCAATAGTAGAAATTTATGAGAATTTCAACTTCAGTTCTGGATACAATCAGAAAAAAATTTTGCTCTGGCAGTCCTTCCAATCTTGGTTAATGGCTGGCTATTCTCTCTTTCCAGGTGTTTAGGCCAAAAGCCCTGGATAGTTAGGGCTGGTCAAAGATGACACTTGTCTTCCTCCCACACCCCACATCCAGTCTGTAGATCCTGTTGACTGTGCTATAAAATGTATTCTGAATCTAACCACTGTTTACCATCTCCCCTGCTACCACCCTGGTTCAATGCATCATCATTTCTTACCTGATTTCCTGGAAGAGCCTCCTAACTAGTTTGTTTCCTCTCTCGCCTCCTTTTATCTACTCTGAGCACAGCAGCCAGAGGGATCCCGTTAAAATATGTCAGCTCAGATCACTTTTCTGCTTACAACCTGGTGGCTTCTTACCTCACTCAGAGTAAAAATCTGAGTCCTCACTGTGACTGCCAGGTCTCCACCACCCAGCTGCCCTCACCTTGGCCCTGCTCGTCCCTCTTGTGCCCCTGCGGCTGTTCCTGTAATACACCTCGTGCTCCCTCAGGGCTCATGGATGGCTTCTCCCCTCACTTCCTGTGTGTCCTTACTCCACTGTCCCCTTCTCATGCGTCTTCCTGGCCATCTGTGTCTGATGTCACACGACACTTCTCTACCTTTCCTGCATTATGTTTTCTTTTTTCTTTTTTTTTCTTGTTTTGAGACAAGAGTCTCCCTCTGTTGCCAGGTGCCAGACTGGAGTATAGTGGTGCGATCTCTGCTCACTGCAACCTCCGCCTCCTGAGTTCAAGCAATTCTCCTGCCTCAGCCTCCCAAGTAGCTGGGACTACAAGCACACACCGCCACACCCAGCTGATTTTTATATTTTTTAGTAGAGGCAGGGTTTCACCATGTTGGCCAGGATGGTTTCAATCTCTTGACCTCATGATCCACCCGTCTCAGCCTCCCAAAGTGCTGGGATTACAGGCATGAGCCGCCGCACCCGGCCATGTTATCTTCTTTTTATTGAGTGTATTGTCTAGCTCCATGAGGACAAAAAAATAATTTACCTGTTTTGTTTATTGCAGTATCCTCAGCATTAAATAGGGCCAGCATGTAGTATGCCCTCAGTAAATATTTGTTTACATTTACTAAAGCAACGCTAGACTCTGTCACACATTACATCATTTAATACTCAAGCCAATCCTAATTCCTTAAAAAATCAATTCTTCTAGGCAGGAAAACTGATGTTTGCCAATATATCTGAAACCAAATGTTTTGAGATCATAACCCTCTAAACACCACAATTATTTTTACAGAAAAAGTTGTAGTATACCCTGGAATTGCTGTATTTTTCCAGAATGCCTTCATCTTTTTTGGGTAAGTTTTTTTTGCATTCTTTATCTTTAAAAAAAAAAAAAAGTAATAGCTTCTTTTATATCATTTACTATATTTAGTTGCTTAATTACTCATCCAATGCCCTCCTCCATGATACTTTCATAAAACATGAAGAATAAGGTTGAGAAAGATATTTTAAATAGATGAGTTGGTTTGCTGCCAACCTTAAGAACATATATTAATTTTTAAGATTGCCACCATGCCCCCCCCCCCCCCCCATAATGAGTGAGTAACTATGATTCACGCAGATTTAGTTACATAACACTGGTGATGTTCATTTTAAACTTAGATCCCTAACAGTTGCTTTAAACGAAAGCCTGCCTAAAACCACTTATCCTTACATTTTGGTTTCTGATACATTGTATAGTTTCTTCTGTCCTTGATATTGTAGAATTTCTGAGTGAGATTTGAGGTGTGGAGGAAAAGCCCAAACATTTTTTGTCCTTTCCTTTCAATTACAAATGAAAAGATGACTAAAACCTCTAAAAACCTCAAGGCTCTTATCAGTATTCTCTGATGCTCATCTTTCCTAGAAACTTAGGGCCAGCCCTTTTCTCTATCTGTGCTGCTCCTCCAGCCACTCCCACCCCCTTCAACCCCCCACAACCTGCCCCTGCCCCTGGCCATAAGACCCCACAAACAAAACAGCGCTTTATCCTCTGCATCAGGAGTTCCTTCTTATTTTATTATTATTTTTTGAGATGGAGTCTTGCTCTATCACCAGGATGGAGTGCAGTGGCTCAATCTCAGCTCACTGCAACCTCCGCCTCCCAGGTTCAAGTGATTCTCCTGCCTCAGCCTCCCAAATAGCTGTCACTACAGGTGCACACCACCACACCCAACTAATATTTTTGTATTTTTAGTAGAGACGGGGTTTCACTGTGTTGGTCAGGCCGATCTCTGACTCCTGACCTTGTGATCTGCTCACATCAGTCTCCCAAAGTGCTGGGATTACTGGCATGAGCCACCACACACAGCCCACATCAGGAGTTCTTAGTCTTTATTCTGTCAGAAGCCTTATGAAGGTTTGGAATCACCAGACTTTTCCATATGCAGGAAATTGGTGTCTTGCGTATTTCTGGAAAGAGATAGTTTGTGGCTTTCATCAGATTTTCAAAGAAATCCGTAATCCAAAAAAGGCTAGGAATCTGATGTGTATTCCAGGACTTTTCCTTCCCCATCCCTTCTCACCCACCCCCGCAAAAAAAAAAAAAAAAATCCCATGTCTACTGAAATACTAATAGTTGCCCTTCAGTAAGAGTCACCAGTTGGTATTCACACCTATTCCATCACCAGGCATCTTTGCCATTTTGTAAAATCAGTTTGGAAATAAGAAGAATGTAAACTTAGATGCAACAAAATGCTCAGCCTCTTTGGGTTAAACTTTGTATCCTGTAAGCAAATTGAATTTGGTTAATGGACACTGTTAGCAGAATAGTTGTAGCAGATTGCCTGTTGTGTTAGTCCATTTGCATTGCTATTTAGGGTTGCCTGAGGCTGGGTAATTTAGAAAGAAAATAGGTTTATTTTGGCTCACGGTTCTGCAGGCTGAACAGGAAGCATGGTGTCAACATCTGCTTCTGGTGAGGGCCTGAGGAAGCTTCCAATCATGGCAGAAGGCAAAGGGGGAGCCGGCATATCACATGAAGCCAGAGAGAGGAAGAAGAGGTACCAACCTCCTCTAAACAACCTCGCATGTGAACTAACAGTGAAAATTGACTCATCACCAAGGGAATGGCACTAAGCCATTCATGAAAGATTTGCCCCCCATGACCAACATGTCCCACTAGGCTCTACCACCAACGCTGGAGATCACATTTCAACAGGAGATTTGGAGGGGACACCTGCCATTCTGATCATAACAGAATGGTACTCAGCAGCAGCATGGAATTACTATTTCAGAAGTCACAATGGGCAGATGTCAGTACCAGAGATGACCATCTGACAGTGTGGGAGGGACTGGCCCTGGCTCTTTCCCAAGAAACTCCAGATTAGAGTTCATAGCTTGTGACAAATATGGTGGAGTTACAGTGTGTCTTTTAAACTATTTGGACAGTAGAGGCCTCTAATAACCAACGTCACTTTTTTCTTTGTTATAGCAGTAGATCTGATATTAACTAGAAGAGCAGAGATCTGGGATTATAGGCACGTGCCACCATGCCCAACTAATTTTTGTATTTTTTGTAGAGGCCGGCATTCGCCACATTGCCCAGGCTGGTTTCAAACTCCTGGGCTCAAGCAGTCCGTTCGCCTTAGCCTCCCAAAGTGCTGGAATTACAGGTGTGAGCCACTGTGCCTGGCCCATAGCCCCATTTCATTTGGTGGCATGCAGGCAGCCATCTGCACTCTGGCTCATCCAAGGCACCTGTGGGTAATTTGCCACCCTCGGCAGTTGGCTTTCCAAAGCCTGGCTGTGTCCATTCCTTGCCTCCTCATCTCCTAAACTGTAATCTGGCCATGGTAGATTCCTCCTTGTTCTACTAACACCTCAGCTGTTATTTTATGCATACAATTGTCCTATTCAAACTCGTTTTTCCATAAAAGCCCGTCTCAAGTATTACCTCTGTAAATCCTTTTCTAACTTATTCAGGGCAACTGAATTCCGTGTTTCTGTGCCCCCTTAATACTTAGTATATAAGCCTCGTTTCCCAGCCACCCCCACACGTACCATATTGGTTAGCAAAATGGGAGCAATTTGAGGGCAGTAGCTATGTGTCTTATTTTATAGCCCTGGCACCAAAACAGTTTGTTGAATGAATTTGATAAACTCAGACATATAATGGTTACATAGTAAACACTGGTTAACTTTTTAAAAGTCACATGAGTCTCTAGAACTCAAAAGTTAAGGTTGTCGGGAAGATGGTGGTAAATAGCACCATTGAGTGTAATGGAAGAATTGACTACCTTAGCATGATCAGTTTCTGTTTTGATACATTTTGTACCAACATTTTTTCTACAACTCATCAGTTTTTCTTTGTTGTTTGTTTCATACCATTCTCAAAATCTCACATATTCTTTTCTCAAATTCAGGGAGTCATGTGGTATTTCTTGATTTATTCACAGAGGACTGGTTTTTAAGTTTGGCCGCACTGAAGACTTATGGCAGTGAAAACATCTGATTGCCTACAGCACGACAGCCCTGCATGGGTTTGTTTTGTTTTGTTTTGCCATTTTCTTTCTTTTTTTTTTTTGTAATGCCATTTTCTAAGCTTATTTCTGAGTGTAGTCTCAGCTTAAAGTTGTGTAATACTAAAATCACGAGAACACCCTATTTAAACAACCAAAAGTCTATTGTGCTATGCACTTGATTAACTTATGAAATGTTACAGGAAACTTTCACATGAATAATTTCTGTCAAATGTTATCATGGTATAATTTGTAAAAATAAATTACAAAAGAAATTATGGATTTGTCAATGTAAGCATTTGTCATGCCTGAGGTCCAAAACCACAATGAAAGTGCTCTGAAGATTTAATGTGTTTTTATTCACATGTGGGCTCTTCTGTGTCAAATGGTAAATGAAGTAGAAGCTTTTGTTTTTAAAATATTTCATGGTCAAAATTCTTCCTCACTATAATTGGTATTTACTTTTACAAAAAATTCTGTGAATATCTAGTGTAAGTGGCACATGCCAGGGGTGAGTGGATGTGTTGGAAGAGAGATGCACTATGGTCCAGGCTCCCCACGTCCCTTCCGTAGGGAGCTCTTCCGTGGGGAGCTCTCATTCCAAGGACAGGAGGATGTGACTCAGCCATGACATGTGGTTCTGGTCGGATGCAGTCACTCCACATCCACTGTTGAAGGAAAGAGGAAAAGGACAGGGATTTGACAGTCCAGTCTTACACAGCGGCCCATTTCTTTGTAGTTGTTCTGATAATAAACTGGGTTCCATGTTTCATTTCATCTGCATACTGAACCACTAGCCTAACAGACCAGCAAGGTCAACTAGAATGACAAGCATTAGCTACCAGGAGCTCTCGTAGTCTCCCGAGGCCTCTTCAGAACTCTGTGGGCCCCACAGGCTTCCCACCTCTGCAAGGTGGGGTACATTCTTCAGTGTATCCAGAGGTTGACACGTCTTTCAAAAAATGTGCTACAATTAGCTCTTTGAAATATTTGCTGGGTGATTTAAATGTGCGGGTCTCTTTTCCATGTTAGCCATTGTTATCTGACTGTATGTTGTGACTATTGCTTGGTGATCAAGATTCTCCTCTAAGAAATGACTTGCTGTCATCCCACGTGAACTCCTGATGTTTTTTCTTTTCTTTTTGTTTGGAGACAGAGTCTCGCTTTCTCGCTCAGACTGGAGTGCAGTGGCCTGGCCTGATCTCAGCTTACTGCAACCTCTGCCTCCCAGGTTCAAGCAGTTCTCCTGCTGCAGCCTCCCAAGTGGCTGGTACTGCAGGCACACGCTGCCACACCCAGCTAATTTTTTGTATTTTAGTAGAGACAGGGTTTCACCATATTGCAAAGGCTGGTCTCGAACTCCTGAGCTCAGGCATTCTGCCCACCTTGGCCTCCCAAAGTGCTGGGGCTATAGGCGTGAGCCACCGCACCCGGCCTCCTGTTTTTTCTACAAAGATCCATAAAATGTGAAAATTGGAGAAGATTCTAGAGGTTGAACTCCACCTTCTCTTTTTACACAGGAGGGGAACCCAGACCATGGAAATTTAAATGACTTCCTCAAGGTCACAGAACTAGTTTTTTAATCCTGAGGCAGTGCATCCCCCGACCCTGCAACTGAGCACAGCCTCTCCCTACAGTGCAATTCAGAATATGCTCAGGGAACGCCAGCTACCGTGTAAAACCGCTAGGATAAAAGCACGATTCTCACAAGCACTAAGTATCAGTGAATTTTTATTTTTTCTGTTTTGTATTATCTGCTTTGCTAATGTAAACAAGAGTTAACTAGGTAGCACACTTTATTAAGCATGAGAAAGAATCTTAAGAAGTGTCAATAAAATTTACCCAAAACTTTAATAATGTGTCTGTAACCAAGAAAATATCAATAGCATCATCTTAATGAAAATACAGATTTATTTTAAATTGTTATTAAATTGATTCTTAAACAAGTTTTTAGTCTTATTTTTTAATATCAAATCTGTCTTTGACCTTGTTTCATTGTACATAAGGAGACTTTGTTGTCATGAGTGTTTCTCACAGAGTGGGCACCAGCAAAAGGAAGCTGCCTTGTTTTTGAACAGGCCTTGTTTTTCTTGGGTGCTTTTGCTTAAAATCCAACAGCCAAATGAGGAAACTGTAAAAGCAAAACATTTTTATCACAGATGAACCCACATACTGATTTTGGCTTGATCTCTTGAAACTTAGCCTAAATATGTCTCTTCACAAAGACTTTAGAAGTTCTTTAATATAATCTGAATTGAAAGAGATCTTAGATAGATAGTTTTTATTTTGTATAGCATTTTACATGGATCATTGATAAATGGCCATCTGGCTTTTGTTTGAATGCCTCCAGAGACAGAGGACTCACTACTGCCATATGAAGTAGTTCATTCCACTTGGCAGACAGTTGAGATTGTTAGAAATTTATACTGCACCTCCCCTGGGTCTGGGTAAATTCTTCAGAGAAGCGTAGAGAAAACAGTTTTCTTCTACATGCCAGTTTTTTTTTTTTTTTTTTTTTTTTGAGATGGAGTTTTGTTCTTCTCTCCCAGCTTGGAGTGCAGTGGTGTGATCTCGGCTTACTGCAACGTCCACCTCCTGAGTTCAAGCAATTCTCTTGCCTCAGCCACCAAGCCCAGCTAATTTTTGTATTTTTTAGTAGAGACAGGGTTTCACCATGTTGGTCCGGCTGGTCTTGATCTCCCAACCTCAGGTGATTCACCCACCTCAGCCTCCCAGACTGCTGGGATTACAGGTGTGAGCCACCACGCCCAGCCTCCATACCAGTCTTCCAAGTGTTTGAACAGAGTTCTTAGGTCTCCTTTGGCCTTCCTCTACAAGCTGTGCAGACCCTGAGTTCTGAAGTGGTATCACACCACAGCCCGTCATACAACCGCACTGCATATGGCATAAACCTGGACCTCAGAGCTCTGAAACTGGAAATCAGGGTAGCTAACATAGAGTGTTTTGCTAACATTTCACATACATTATCTCCTTTAAACCCTAACAACACGGTGAGGAGTTACTGTTAATATCTCCATGTCAGAGATGGCGAGACTGAAGCTACGAGATGACAGAGCTGGCCGTGGTAGAACCCAGATCTGTATGACTCCGGAGCACAAACTCTTAGAAGGTGGGATTTGATCCCATTTTAGAGATGAAGAAACAGCCCCAGAGAAGTGACCTGCCCAAGGGCACCAGTCTGCCAGTGGGTAAACTAGGCCTAGAATTCGGATCTGCCTCCTAGAACACTGGGCCTCACCAAGGCTGGGGAGTCCGTTGGCAGGCTGCTGATGTGCTTTCCTATTTTACTTTTTTTGATATATATTTTTTGAGGCAGAGTCTCAGTCACTCTGTCACCCAGGCTGGAGTGCAGTGGCATAATCTCAGCTCACTGCAACCTCCCCTTCTCCTGGGATTCAAGTAATTCTGCCTCAGCTTCCCAAGTAGCTGGGATTACAGGTGTGTGCCACCACATTCAGCTAATTTTTTATTTTTTGAGATGAAGTCTCACTCTGTTGCCCAGGCTGGAGTTCAGTGGCATGATCTCGGCTCACTACAACCTCTGCCTTCCAGATTCAAGTGATTCTTCTGCCTCAGCCTCCCGAGTAGCTGGGGTTACAGGCTCTTACCACCACACCTGGCTAATTTTTGTATTTTTGGTGAGACAGGGTTTCACCATGTTGCCCAGGCTGGTCTCAAACTCCTGACCTCAAGCGATCTGCCTGCCTTGGCCTCCCAAAGTGCTGGGATTACAGGTGTGAGCCACCACACCTGCCCTAAATAAGTACAATTGATTGTAGGCCAGTTACACCTCAAAAAGCTATTTGAAGGGGAGGAAGAAGAGAAAGAAGAGGATGGAGAAGGAAAAGAAGGGGCAGGGTCTCTCCCCAGCTTCTCTCTGCTTGGCCCTCAGGCATAGGTGTCCAGGCCCATTAAAAGGTGGCTTCTTTGTCCCTTCAGTGAGCAACATCTTGGATGCTGGATGGGGCAAGCATTGGCCTGGGACTCAGAAGGCCTGGGTTCTGGTCTTGGCTCTGCCACTCACAAAAGTGAAACATCAGACAGTAGCCTGACCACTGCTGGCCCTGACTTGCTGTGGCAATACTGGTCCCTGCTGGTCCAGCCTACCCACAGCATTGACTAGAGGATGGCCTAGGGGGACACATCAGAGTGCTGAGTGAACTATGAGTGTGGGTCAAAGGGGGGTGCTGGGGGGCATAGGGAGTGAGCCCTGACCTTCTTTACCATCTTTCTAGCCCAGTCACAACAACAAACGCTACAATGTAACACAGGGACAGCAGCCGCTGAGTTGTTTGAGCTCTGCCTCTCTTTGTTAAGTGACTTCAGACTCCTGTACTACAAATTCTTTTGTGCCTGCTTGTTATCATTTATCAAGAGCTGTGTTCAGGACTCAGCCTGGACACTCACACACTGTAAGATCTTTTTTTTTTTTTTCCCCAGACAGAGTGTCAGCTCTTCTCGCCCAGGCTGGCATGATCTAGGCTCACTGCAACCTCCACCTCCTGGTTTCAAGTGATTCTCCTGCCTCAGCCTCCTGAATAACTGGAATTACAGGCATGTGCCACCATGCCCAGCTAATTTTTGTATTTTTAGTAGAGATGGGGTTTTGACATGTTGGTCAGGCTGGTCTTGAACTCCTGGCCTCAGGTGATCTCCCCACCTTGGCCTCCCAAAGTGCTGGGATTACAGGTGTGAGCCACCGTGCCCAATGGGCTGTAAGATCTTGATAAGTCATGTCTCTACTCTTAGCATCTGTCGAAAAGGGGGTTGGATTCCAGGGCTTGAGGCTTCTTCCAGCTCTTGCATTGTGGGGTTGTCACCTGCATGTCAAACTATTTGCCTAGGTTGAGGACTGCAGATGGGGAGGGGAAGTGCAGCCAGTGGCATCTGTCTCATCCCTGACCCTGAATGATGTGAGGCATCAGGGAAATGGTGACCTTCACCACCTCCCCACCACCCTCCCCCACACACATGAATATCATGGCCCTGTTCTTCCTCCAGTTCCTCCTGCAATGCGCCTTACTTCATTTTTGTTTTTGTTTTACTCATAAACACCAAGTCAACATATGTAGGCAGGCATCTTTTTAAGTTCATGCAAAATCTATCAAAATCTATCACATTAATAAGTTACAAATCTTACCTCCCAGAAAGCTTGGTCATCAAAATATTTAGCCGCATGAGGTCCTTTCCATATTTTGAGACTTAGGAGCAAACCTGTTTAAATACATGATTAAATGTTAAAACATTTGGAGCACAGGATTTTTTATCTCAGGATTAATCAAAATATTGTGTATCAAAACTACTGTATCTCAACAGAAATCTTTTTTCTCCCACAGTTGAAAGACAGACAAATAAATGGAAGCCCTGTCATTCCTGGACCAGCTTAATTTAGTAGACATTTTATTTTACTTTACTTTATATTTGTTTATTTATTTGAGATGAAGTCTCACTCTGTCACCCAGGCTGGAGTATAACGGTGCACTCTCCACTCACTGCAACCTCTGCCTCCTGGGTTCAAGTGATTTTCCTGCCTCAGCCTCCAAGTAGCTGGAACTACAGGTGCCTGCCACCACATCCAGCTAATTTTTTATATTTTT